TTGATGTGTGTACAGGACGTGAGTGAGGAACTCTGGAAACTGCGGCACGCAGATAAGCCAGAGACCATTTACGCAATACACATTTATCCCGACCTATTTTGCCTTCCATACTGCTGCTACAACTTTAAGGTCAACTTGTTGAAGTGGGACGAACCATCTCCGTCACAATATTCCGCGTGACTTGTGGCCCGTGAATCTTATGCGACGGCCGGTCAGCTCCTGTCCTCTTGACGGCGCAGGTCTAAGGTCTGCCGGCGTGGAAGACTCGGCAGCGGGGTCGAGCGTAGTGTCGGGCGTAGTGGTGGGTGGTGGAATCGGGGGTGAGGGGGTCCGCCTCCGAGAGGAACGTCGGCGGAGGCCGGCCAGTCCGCGGTAGTCAGGATGTGTTCCCCGGGTCCGGTGCGATGGCTCGGGCGGGCCAGTCCCAGTCCCGAGAACTGCAAGAGACCCCGGATGGGTCTCCGGCGGGTCGATGGGGGAGGGTGAAGGGCTGGGGCTAGAGTGACAAGGAAGACGAGACAGTGCGTCAGCCACTTGATTGCGTGCACCCGGCAGGTATGTAATAGTGAGGCCGGGAAACTCAGCCAGAAAATCTAGCCAACGGGCGGTGCGGCCGCGAAGAGGCTTCGACGCCTTGAGTTGCTGTAAGTATGTAAGGGCTTGGTGGTCGGTGTGGGCCGTGACCTTGGCAGGTCGCAGTAAGTGTGCCCACTTGTCGAGTGCAGATACTAAGGCCAGGAGCTCCTGGTCGTAAATCGAGTATTTCTGCTGCGTTGGGGTCATGGCCTGACTGAGGAACCCTATTGGTTGGCCGGCCTGTTCGAGGACCGCGCCAACTGCATAGCCCGAGGCATCCGTGTAGAGCTCAAAGGGTTTCGTGGTGTCAGGAATCTGTAGGGTGGTGTAATCAACCAAACGCTGCTTGAGGTGGCGTACCGCTTGAGTGTGTGCGTCTGTCCACTGGAAAGGGACTCCCTTGCGTGTGAGATCTACGAGTGGGCGGGCGACCCTAGCAAAATCCGGGCCCATGAACATGCGGCAATAGTTAACGGTGCCTAGGAACTGACGTATTTGCGTCTCGTTCTGCAACACCTCGGGCGTCTCGTTCTGCAACACCTCGGGCCACGCCTTAATGACTTGAATCTTGTCTGGTGCGGGTTTTATACCCTCCGCGCTAACGGTATAGCCCAAGTAGGTAAGCTCCCGCTTCGCAAACTTGCATTTAGAGAACTTCGGGTAGAATTGCTGATCGAGGAAAATACGTAGTACTTGTTGGAGGAGGGTAACGTGACTGGGAAGGTCGGGGCTGTAAATGAGGACATCGTCTAGATATGCAATGACTCCCTGACCCAGTAAAGGCTGCAGGTATGCATTGATGTTGGCCTGAAAGGTAGCAGGCGCGCCCTTGAGGCCAAAGGGCATGACCTTATACTCGAATAACCCCACAACCGAGCGGAAAGCTGTCTTCCACCGGTCCTCCTTGGCCATTCTTATCTGGTGAAATCCCGACTCGAGGTCGAGAGTAGAAAAGTATCTGGCACCCCCCAGCATCTCAAGAATCGTTTGAATAG